GGAAAGATTTAGAGGTTCGTAATATGAGGAGTTTTATAGTGCATTATTGTAAAACACTTCTGCCATGATCACATTTTCTCACCTGGTTGACATGAAAGCCAGGTTGATTCTGTAGGCACAAGACAAAGTGATGGTGCCCACTGGGGTACCCACTGTCCCAACACGGACTGTCTGGAAACCTGTAAGGTTAAGGAATGGTTATCAGCTTCACTGATTATTTATATTCCGAGGTTACATCATCTTACTTCTATAGAATTTCTGCTATCCCTTGCAACCTGAGCTCCAAAAGACACATGTAGACCCCCTGGCAGAAGAGCAGCACCACGCTGCCTTGCTGGTAGGCTTTATCTACAAAACTTGTGATGTTGCTTCCTATCTTAGTCTGAAATACTGCTTTGAGGTGCTGCTTGTTCCCAAGTTGACCATGATGTCCTTTACCAGTCCTGCCCCTTATCAACATATTTACATATGGCAATCACCCTAGATTTTGTCAAAGTACCACCATTACACCTGTCACCTTATGACACGACCCTTCGCTGGTCGATCCAGATAAAAAGCACATGTAAACTTCAGACTTAGTTTTCCTTTAGGGCACTCAGGAATAGTGATAAATGGCTAGCCAGTATAGAAAACAGTTCTGCTCTAGCTAGTGTATGTTGCCTAATCATACCTTCTCCCAAGCCACTCAGCTGCACTTCACCAAAATATATCCTGCAGGAAAAAAAAGGGAAAAAAAAAAAAAAGGCATTAGGTTCATTGGGGACATAATACTCTCTATATTATTATTCCTTATTTATGAGTTGAAAGGCTGAAACTACTTTTCCTCTCTAGAAAAAAAAAAAAGAACCAAAAGAAGTGGCTAGAATACCCATCTCTAAAAACCTTACATGTCAGGTGAAAAGAAACATAAAGTCTAATCTGAAATTTCTCTTTAAGTTTTTAAGCCTCTTTGGCAAGCCTAGTTCAGACCAAAAATGTGAAGCGATACAAACTTCACAAACAGGTCTGAGTCTAAAAGCTGATACTCATCGCACAACATAAGAGAGACCTGCTCTTAAGTATATGCCAAACTAGCAAAGGAGGCAAAAGCTAAGAAATGGCTGAGACTTCTTTTTAAGTTCACAGCTGTGCAAACGATAACAAACCTGAGATTCAGAAACATTTAATTGTCTATGCAAACATGTCAAAGACATTTCTCAGACCCAGAACCAAAGACTGGAGGGTGATAACCACGAACCACAAGCCAGTCAGGTCTCACAGGCTAAACAGAGTTGAACTCAGTGTTTGGATGAGTAAACTGGAAGAACTACAGGAAGTGGAGCTGAGGGTGCACCTTTAAAATGGAACAGAGGAGAGATTCTGAAGTGATACTGCAGAAGTACGCATTCCAGTTATGTGCAACACAGACAGGTATTTATCAAATACAGGGCAAACGCTGAGCCACTGGATGCTAAACAATTCAACGAGCACTTGCATGGAGCCCTTCAGCACTCTTCTCAATATGGTAGGCAAATAATACTTTGCAGCCTGTGCTTAGTTTTGATTTCAGTGGTTCAGACAGAGGGTACCAGGTCACTGACGGAAAGTAGTTAAATCCAAATAATTTGACTTTATTACTACTCATCTGTTTTTACCACATTTGCAGCTGTGCTGTGCAAATCTAGAGTCTCTGCTGTTTGCGTTCCAAATGGGGATTTTTGTATTCTGCTTACCTGTACAAGATTACATATTCATGGCCTTGTTTCCTGGAGAGTCTGTAGGCTGGAGTTACCCTGGTTATAGCAAGCAAAGACTTCAGCAGTAGAGACAGCCGGTTGTATACAGTGTATGAAACTTTGATTTCTTTGTCACACCTACAGAACACAAAGAATATTAGTCTTTTTTTCCCACCTAAGTTGCTTGGATCTGTTTGGTTGGCTGGTTTGAGGTGTAGGCCAAATGTTTAATGTCAGTTTTATTGCCAAAATGATAAAATAAAACCCTGATGTGGCTACCTGTTACTGGCCAACAAGCTAAGAGTCCTACTTCCATCTAGTCACCCGTCACAAAGGTAATTACTGAAAAATGCCATGCAGCTATCTCCTAAACAGAAACCTATTTTCAGTATTAAAAAAATTGTTGTTACCGAGTATGTATTTCATATATCTGAGGGAGCATCTAGTTGTAATGGAAGAATGAAGGAGTAAAATTACTAGTTTGTTCTCCTGACACCAGTATTAAAACGGTTTGACTGCTGCACTAGACAAAAGGGGACTTCCCTCTGTAGTGTCCCAGGGCACACAGCCAATACGTGCTCGTTCATCACCACGGATTGATCACGCTTCCACACTTCATCAGCTAAAACAAACACGTGCACAAAGAAGTTATGAAGAACGCACTTACTTTTCGTTCATTTCTAGACACCAAATTTCCAGCTCCATGGAGTCCCCCTAGATCAGAGAAAGAATGTCAAACAAAGGCTCCTTTCAGAACACAAACCTTTTCAGATCTCATTAATGATCCGCAACAGCCACATCTCTCAGTGAAGAAGCTTCTCCTGGCTCCCACTTTCTTGTAATGCAACAACAGAAAAAGATGCACGGGAAGTTTCACTGCACGATGAGATCACCTGAGGGATTATCTTCCTCAGAATGACTAAGCTCTTTTTGGTCTAAAAAAATAAACTTTGCTTCTGTATCATTCATGTGTTTGGTCTCAGGTACTTGCAGTGAATTGCTTCTGTTAAACAATACATTTCTTTTCGTTAGCATACTGCCTAACTTCAAAAATGAAGATATTTTCACATTGTCTTAGACTAAAGGGCTAGAGCTATGCTAAGTGACTTAAAGTTACAGTAAAAAAAAAAAAACAAACAAAGAAACAAGAAGGCCCCTATGTTGGTTGACTCAGTTCTCACCTCTGAGGTTTTGAGAGAAATCTCCACGCACATAGACCGTCCAACAGCAGGTAGTTGTCCTGCCAGGGCTTTCTTCGCTTCATGAGTAACCTCTGGTATATCTTTGATTGCCAAATTGAACTGCAAAATGAAGGAGATGATTCAATCCTTCTATTTCTTCAAAAAAGCACCTAATGGCACACTGCAGTCAGACTCATAGACCCACACATAACATACTAGGTCAGTGTTTACTGAAATATTTATGAAACAGAAAATTCCCAGATGGGCTCAGGCTTTTCATATTTGCAAACATTTCCTTGGCTCCTAATTCAAATGTTTGTCCTTAGCCTGCCATAAAAATCACAGTCATTTTCTCTCACTCCAGTCCTGTCGTCGCTCACGGAGTATCCTGAGTCTCTTTCATTTTAATAAAGCCCATTACCACAAAGTTCTGAATTGCAGAATTGCAAACTTCTGACAGAAAAAACTCATGACCCCGCCCCTAGCAGGCCTTGGAGATACACCTCAGCTGGCAGCAGCTGCCAAAGGTATCATTTATCTCTCCTCTAATCAGCCCTTCAGAGCCCAGAGCGACATGTTGCATGTGAACAAGGATAAAAGAAACACTGCCACCAGTGAACATAATTGGATATAGTGGTTATTCTATAAATAGTTGTTAGAGTCTACACGAGACTGTTAACAACTACATTTTATTCTCAACACACGCATGTGTGCACACACACAGAGACCCTGACAGTTTTGGAGCTTCTTTAAAAAAATACGACTTTACCCAGTCAGAGCCTGTTGGGGAGGATGATGATCGGGTACAGATTTTCTCTCCAAGTCGGGCCTGGACAATTACTTGTACCGTCTGGAATAGAAAGGAAAAGAAACACTCATGTGTTGAGCTCAGCAGAGCCCTCGGATCAGAACCTGAGCTAGACAAATTCCACATAAAAAAACATGAAAGGGCTGACCAGGACGTAGAGGAGTAGAGTTTGCTGTGCTGATCTACAGGTCTAATCCATTTAAATTATTACATATAACAGGTAAATGTATTACAGACAGAAAAAAAAAATCATTTTAAGGTGGCCTTTTGTTGTAATAACATAAGTGACAAAGTCAGTTTTTTGATAAGGAGTTGCACAGCTTTCAGTAACACTGCAACAAAATTTACAACTACATCCTGAACCTGGTCACCTAAACGAAAAGTGAATGGGTACATTTATTAATTAATTTAGTTAGTTAGTTAGTTATTGAATTTGTACAGTTATTTATTTATTTATTTACAGCTGTTGTCAGAGTATCTTCTTGCATCTACGTATCAAGTGAGGCCAAATTTTCTAACTGCGCATCAACATAACTGAAAAGAACATTCTGGCATTATTGCTTTTGGATGCAATATAAAAATTTAGATAAGCTGAAAAGAAAGAGTGGAGTTCAACTGAAGACAGCTCTAACAGCTGGATGGTTAGATGTGTTTGATAGGAGCCCAAAGCTGACAGAGGCGTGAAGTGCCTGTAATTGATTCTACAGCAGGACACTTCTGGGAGGAGGAAGAGGATTTGAAGTTAGAAAAAAGGAGAGAAGATGTTTTTCTAGTTATACTCGAGAATGTCCTAAATGAGACATCACCTTTTTTTCCTTTGGTCTTTAGCAAAAACAAAAAACAAAATAACACAAACCAAGGGAAAAAAAACAAACAAAAAACACTGAAACACCAACCTTGTTACTCTAGCCACAGCCAGTATGGCTTTTTTTTAAACAAGAAAGAAGAGATTTTTGCCCATAGAAGAAAAAGTTACCTTTAAAGCAAAAAATTTGATGAACTTGTCCAGGTCCTTCCTGTCCTGGGAACTGAGATCAGTGTCCATTGCATATGGCAGTCTGAAATACAGAAGCAAGTCTTTCCTCAGCTTTCTGATTGGATTTCAAGATTTCAAAACATTCTGAGGCTTCAAAACATTTGAGGGTACCTCAAAAGAAATAAGTACCAAAGGCTTCTGCCTGTCAAAATCCTAATATGCTAAGAACTTTAGGGGGGTGGGTGTGAAGTGTAAAGCACATGAATAGTTTATCTGGTCGGTGCAAAAGATACTGGAAAGGAATAAAGGGGGCTCACAATTAAAACTGGGTAGAAGTTCTCCAATTTTGCTAGCTTAATTAAAAAAGGAGAAAGGCAAAAAAACTGCAGACCACCCACCACCACAATAACTGGGTTCTATATCAAGCTCTCCATTTCAGAAATAACGTATCTTCAGTTATCAGCACTGGTCAAAACCAAGTCAAACAGGTTTTTTTTGGTCTGAAATTCTAAAAACAGTATTCCAGTGCTATTTCAGCAATAAGCCACTGCTGGAACAGGCTACGCTGCTTCTTTGCTTTGAACAAATAGTGAATCTGTACAGCTACAAATTTACCTACAACCAACTGAAAAGATAAATTTTTGCCAAGGGGTTCACCAGAATTCCCTGTTCGCTCCTCTCAAAAGCTCTGGCAACAAACACTTAGCTCTCACGTTGACACTGCCTTGTTTTTCAAAATTGTTTCTAGCAATACAATGAACTTGCACAGTGCCTGAAACGAGACAGGCCAAGGCACTGATGAGATTTCTGTCACCACCGTGTCACATGGCCATTGGGATAAATCACAATTTTTCTTTTTTCTCAGTTTCTTCATGTGTGTGTGAATTAATAATCATACAGAGACCATGGGGAAGAACACTTTAATTAGCAGCATTAATTGTACTTTTTGCTCATAAGGCTTCAAAGTATTAATTCACTCTTAATTCCTGTCGCTGCTTTGTTTTGAGACAGCGAATCAGCCTGAAGCAGCTTCTCAAACATCACGTATTTATGGAACGCGCCGCTCGTCACAGAAACGCGGGTGGCCTAAGGTTAGTGAGCATGAGCAGCCGCCGTGAACAAGGTTACTCTGCTCAGCACTCAGTCTTTAAACAGCAAGGTACGCTATTTATACAGACTGAAGTTCGGCAGGACAAAGAGGCTAAAAGCCCTGTTCACACAGCAAATATCATACAATTTTTAATGACAATGCACATCCAGAAGTTCTGTTTAAAATATCTCACTTAACAGCAGTAAATGCCGATTTTAAGAAAAGCATCGCCCAAGAAAGGCTGCTGGATAAGAGCACTGCAATTTATAGAGAATTTACAGAGCAGACTGCTGCTTTCTTAATGACTTGATAAAAAGAAATCTAGACATCTTATACTGTTGAAAGTTTCTAGGCTACATTTATACTGCATCCCCTAGCACTGTTCTGTTCTCATCAAAAATTAGAATTCGAGAACAACACATGTGATTCAATATTAGATGCATTATCAAGTTATCCTCCAGAGATTTTAACCTCCTTATCAAAAAGCACTTTCCCTGCCTTTACCTCCACTAGACAGAGATTAAAGATCTTTACTAGAAGGGATGCAAAAGGAAGTCAGCACTTAAAGGGTTTGATGTTTTATTGATGCAGCACTCTACCTTAAAAAAGGCAAGCCTTTAGTATACACACTTCCCACCACAAAACAATAGGCGAGAATGACCTGTTATTATTCTTTTGACTTAACTAAGCAGAGCACTCTAAGGGTTGAAGGGACCCCAGATCTACAACAAACACCTGGCAGACGTGGGCAATAAAATGCTCCACTAAAAAAAAAATACATCATTTTCTCAGCAAAGAAAATGCCAACATTTAAATACCAGGAAAAGTTAAATTAGCTTTTAACGTGAAAAGAAGTGAGAGGGCATTTCTATGTGACCCCTAGAGAAAGATGCAAGCAAGTATATATATCATGATGATGTAGAAGAGCTGTCCAATAAAGTACCGAAGTTTGCCTTATAGGGCTGAAAAAAGAATTCTGGTATTGACTATTTTAAGTCATTTGGGGACTAATGGAAGGCGTTAGGCTCACTGGTCTGCTAGAAAAGAAAAAAGCACACCATTGGCATGGTTCTCTGTGCAGTACAGGAACTAATTCTAATGCCTATATACCCAAATATCTCTAGAGAGGAGAGAAACAGCCACTGGAGTCATGTCTTAAATTCAGGGTTCAAAGAATGAAAGCTTCACAGTTCTGCCCTGCTGCAGCAGAACTGGGATTCTTCCTGCAGGATCTCAAATTATCTTTAACATTCATGAAACATTTGGAGATTTCACACTCTTACCTCTCAAGCTCCAAATGACAGCAACAGTTGACTCACCAGAGCCTAAAGCAGAGCAGAAAGTATCAGGCAAGGTTTCCTGTGAGAAATCTGTAATTTCAGGGGGAAACTGGGACTTGGGAATTCAGCTTCTGGCATGTCTAAGGGCTGCCATCCGACGACCACTATCTCCTCATTTGTGCAGGAGGGCCTCTGGTGATTACCTGAGATCTGCTAAGGCTTAGGACAGTGTTCACATTTAGAATCATTCCTGATAAGAGTCAAGATGGCCCTAGAATTACAGCAAACATTTTATTTGCAGAAATGCCTCAGTACTGCCAGGTTAGCTGCCACCAGCTAACCCGAACAGGAAGGAAATTCTTTCAGCTTGTTTCTGCCAAACTCATTCAACTTCTCAGGTCCCGTAGGTTGCAATGCCAGCCTGGCTCCTTGTATCCAGGCATGTGCTTAGCTCAAGGAAGACACAGTCTAATTTTACACTCAATAAAAACTAGAAGGAAATAACCTTCGGGCTAGGTTAGAAACCCACAGATGACTGATTCCCCATCAACCAAGTAATGCCTTAAGTAAACTGATATCTCACTGCTTTAGCCTTACACATAGGCTGTTCACAGGTAAAAACAAGCATTTTGGCCACATGGCTTTTTTGTTTTGTTTCTCTTCCTGCTACATCTATTTTCATACTATTGGCTTTATTTATATGTCTTTATCTCCACTCTCCTCTAAACAGAAACACCAGAGACAGACGTTAAAAGAAAAACTGCCACATGTGGCTTTTTGGATTAAAGCCTTATTCTTTCTCGCACAGTTACGATGCGGATAAAAATGCAAGGCTAACCCAACATTTTAAAACCCAAGCAATGCGCCTGATACACTCTACTGGTATTCACACTCTTCTCCAGGGAGGAGGACACATCTGCATAAGCTGATGGCACCCTGTTTGCATGATGCAACAAACTGCAAGAGCCCTCCCCTTCATGTCTTGGTACAGCCCCAAGAAAATATAGTCACCAGCACGCCGTGCTCCAGCCCTGGTAACCCGGGCACACGGCAGGGACACAGCGAGACCTGTGCATAGGTGCATCACAGAACACGTTTCCTAGGGGGAATTTAGTGTGCATGTCTGATACTCACATATATAAATAGGAAAGGAGGAGAAGCCCCTGACACATACCAGGCGTTATTACTGCTGCTGCGGGAAAGTATATACAGGCTGCTTCCATCACCCTCCTCCTCTGAGATTTCACTCTGAGCCAAAAGGGCTGCTACGACTTGAAGTCATCGTGCTTTCCTTCCAAACAGATACTTACTGATGCAAAATAATTACTCATGGATCCTACCCCAGAGTGAAATTAAAAGGATCAGAGGGAAGAAACAAGAAGGGTTATTGCTGTAAGGAGAGGACTGTGGACAAGTTACCTGGCTGTACCCCCGGACCATGTTCCTTGTCCTTACCACTCTTCCAGAACTTCTTTGTAAACACAGGACCCAAATCCGAACTCTGAGGATGTCCTATGTGAAGCTCTGGAAAAGTCTTGTTGAATCATGCAGGTAAACAAGAAGTACATTGTAGTTTTTGAGGCTTTTAAGGGTGTCTTTGATAAATAAGCTGGACTGCCAGGAAAGCTTTCCTAGAACATTCCCCTTTCAACGACCAAGAAGCTTCACTGCAAGCAGGTATTTTGAGCACATTAATAAGCAACTATAAAAAGATCTCATTAAAGACAGTGCTCTGTTTCAAGGCTGGTCCTACAGGTCAAACTCCAGTATCCTACAATTACTTAAAATTAATCTCCATTTTGCCTTCTTCGTAGGTTAGTCACAAACCTGGAGAGAGGGAGCAGTTTTGAATTTAAGACGTGCCACTCATTCTTTAAGGTTTATGGATTTTTTTTTGAGAGAAGACCAGATTCTAGCAGAAAACCTGTTTCAAATAATATAAACATTCTGATTAAGTCAAAGGCTCTGTAGTTCACTTTATGGTTAAGTTTTGGCTGATAAAAAGGCAATTTTTCCTG